TTACTAGGGTTGTTGTCCTCCCTTTTTTGTTTTACTTTTTCCAGAGGAGACTGTATAGGTTACGAATCAAAAGTCTCTAGTTTTTTTCTTTTTTTTCCCCAAATTACTCCATTATTTTAACTTTATTGTAAATAATAGTATGTCTCTTCCTTATTTTCAGTTTACTCCTATTAAAATCTGTTTTTAATTATAAATGGAAAAAAAATTGGGAAATCCCAAAAATTGTATTATTATTATTATTTGTAAAAGTAAAGTGTAGAAAAGTTTACAATTCGTACATACAAGGAATATGCAAAAGTAATCATGCTTATTTATTTATGTTTATAAAAAAGCACAATTATTGAAATGCAAAATTTTTGTTAATTTACTTAAAATATGTCTTTCCATTTGAAAATAGATTTACTAGTTTTAAAACATAAACCTTTAGTTGCAATTCTTGAATATTCCCGAATTCTAACATGCTCTTCTTGGCATGAAGTTTGGGAATAGAGTCCATTACTGTCCATAAAATAAAACAATTTAATTTATAATTATACTAACATTAGCTATTTAAATATGAAATCTGTAACAATATCGATCTAAAAACATGGGCAATCTAAATGAATTTTATTTGACCTTTTGGTTTTAGTAATATGCAATATTGGTACATAAAATTAACACTATTTTGTATTTTATTACCGTTGTTTCATTGTGCAGTAAAAATTGTAATAATAGTTCTTTGTATATGTACCTGTTGTTTCCCTCGATAAAAACTGCATACCAGTACTAACAAGTTTAAAGAGTTTGTTATAAATTTCAATGTTAAACTGTGGGTGGTAATTTTGGCCCAATACATATAAGGTAAAGGAAAGGCGCCTATCAATATTTCGCACAACAGCGCTGGTAATACTCCGGGCGGTACTGTTCGTGAGAGGTCCCCACTTCCTGTGCTAACTCTTCGATGGTCATTCTTCGCTCTGATCTGATTAACGGTTTCACTTGCTCCACCGTTCCAGCTCCTTCGTTTTTGGAGGTTGAAGAACTTCCACTCCAGCTTTCGTCTTTCAGCGAATTTTGGCCGCCCCTAAATCTTGCAAAGCCACTCGTAAACTGTTATTTTCTTCAAAAAATCGTGACCGTGAACTGTTTGTAGCCCTAACAAAGTTTCCGAAGCAGATTTCCCAATCTGCCCATGAACTTGATGTTCGCGCTTTGCTCGAACTTCGACACTGCTCCAACTGATTACCACGCAATCCCACCTATCGCAGATAGTAGATCATCATTCATTTTAGAGGTCTTCGACCCTTGCGGGCCTTCTCCAATTCCTATTTCTTATCAATTTGGTAAAAGTATATTTTAAGGTACTCCTTGGCGAAACTTGGCGATTTTTGGCGGTAAATGGATACTCAGTTTGTGCAATTCTTTGACTTGTTATTTTAGCTTGCGTAGCAGCGATTTTTGGACCAAAAATCTACACAAAGCCGAAATAACGCAAAGCTACACAAAGCCAAAATAACAAGACAAATAATTGCACGAACTCGGTATCAATGTACACATCGACGTATTTTCACTTAAAAAATCATCTCAGAATTGCGCAAAAAGCATTGTGCACTCTCTTGACTTTATCCATGTACACATCGACCTATTTTCACTTAAAAAAACATCAGAGAGTTGCACAAACTAGGCTTTGCGCACTCCCTTTATCCATGTACACATCGAACTATATTCACTTAAAATGTCAAAGGAAGCAGCCAACAAAAAGTATATAATCTGAGTAAACTACATTTTAAATCAAACAATGAAATAACATAAAAAAGGAAATTCATCTTAGCACTACACGAAGGAAATATCCACTTACCTCCTTATTTACGAATTTACGCGTCTTCAGTCAAACAAAATTCCTTAACAGCATCCAACACGCATCCAACAGCAATTTCCTAAAATTATCTGAACTAGAATCTTGTATACTGGGCGTTCACCACATAAATTCACAAAATAAGAGTAAAAAATATCCTCCGTTCGAAAATATCCGATGTTCGACCACACGCATTTCCTTCCTCCAAACCAGACACATAATAATGGCTACTAAGCAAACGTTGATTTACACACCAGTCAATTAATGCTTTTTTCCCTTTCCTTCCAAGTACTACAGAAACTTCAAATTAATCTTATCACATTCAGCCAATTTACCGTGTAAATCACAAAATAACAACGTGCTAATCCATCATACACAAGCCCTTACCCAAAATCCGACACACACTTTCCAAATTTTTTCACATGATTCAAATTCGCCGCAACCAATTACGTCATAATAGGGTTCCATAGACTTCAACTACTCAGGTTGTCGTAATGAGACAACAACTTGGCGATAAATGAAACAAAAATTTCTCGATAATACAAGGGGTACCCGAAAGTCAACTCTAACCCCATTTGGACTTAAAGATGAAAAATGTTAAACACCAGACAAGTGGAAAGTCTTTTGCGCCTTTGCGCAAGAGTCTCTAAAGAGTAGTCATAATAGACGTAAAATAATTCGTAAAACTCATAACACATTTTAGATAACTGTTTGAGTAGTCATAATGTAAAATAATAATTCGTAATATCCTAACATGTACAGTAGGCAAGTTTTTAGCAATTACAAGTAATTATAAACATGTTTTGAGTAAATGTATAAACACAATAAGTTGAGGATACAGTATGAAGAAAAAGAAAGTGAAGAAAAATAACATAATAGTTACAAGCCCTTCGCTATATTTTGTGTTCGGTTGGGATCGAACCTGTGCGCTAAGAGTCTCGAGACGGAAACTTGACTAGAACCGCTCAGCTGTTGAGCTCGTTTTTCGAGGTGAGAATTCAACAGTCTCTATTATGATGAGAATTCAACAGTCTCTATTATGATGAATAGTTATGGGTCTTTTGTGGGATTGCAGAATAAATTAGTTACTAATTTGTTTGATGACACCTCGAGTAGTATTTTCGAAGTTTTTGTAGAATTTATGTGTGAATTTCAAAATTCAAAGTTGAGTTCAGATCATTATAAATAGCAGTGTTTCTTGTGAACCAAAGAGCATTGATGATGATGATTCAGAGCGGGGTGGGGGCTTTTTTATTTTGGAAATTTTTGTAATAGTAATCTTGCAACAGCTACTCATGCAGGCACAGCGTATAGTAGAGTTTGCCTAATTAATTGTAGGTAATGAATTATTGGAGTTGAGGGCGAGTTGGAAGTTCCTTCCAATTTTAATGGGTAAATTAGAGCTTTATAAGCTTTATCGGTTGCTTCAGTAATATGGTGTTTAAAGGTGAGATTTTGATCGAGATAGACCTCAATATATTTAATTTTGGTTTTACTTGATATAACTGTGCTGTCGAGCGTGATGTCTTCATAATATTTTCGTCTTGCGGAGTATTTTTAATAGATAAAGGATGATTTTGGTGCATTGATTTTTATTTTCCATCTCTTAAACCAAGGAGAAATTAGATTAATGGCATTTTCATGTTTCTCTTGAGCTCATTGTCAGCTGAAAGACTTACAAAGAAAGGCGGTATCGTCGACATAGCAGGCGATTAAGAAATCACTGTTGTTGGGCATATCATTAATGTAAATATTTAAAACCAACGGCACCGAGATTCACTTACAGAGCATGCTATGAATTTCAGTATTAAAATGGCTGCAATAGAAATATAAAGGAGTTACTTGTGGTGCTGAAGAATTACAAAAAATTTTGGAAACATTTTCATTGCCGGTCGTATAAAAGTCCTCCTCTGATATTCACTTGAAGAAACTCGTACTTAATAAGCATAAAATGCGAATGAGAAATGTATGGGAAATTATTCCAGAAATCTCCTGCAAATGAAAATAAGTATGTTCTAATTGGTTAAAAAAGTGATGAAAAAGTATCCTTTTGGGAAGTAAGAATTGTTTAAAGAAGCACACGGTTGCACATTCTAGTGAGAAACCTCATGAACGTGATAGAGATCGTACTACATTTGCTGCCAATCAGAATCTTGAAAGGCATATTTTTATTTACTCAAGGAACAACTATACGAATGTGATATACGGAATGTTTCGAAACTCATGGGTAAAAATTTAAGGCACAATAAAGACGCTTATTATAAATGCATTTACGAGTAAAGATGCATTCCTCCGTGAATAAGACATTTGTGAAGTGAAATCAGCTGTTGCAAAAACCAATGTATAAACTCTACACGTGGCGCATAATCTGTAGCTATCAAGGCATGCACTTTTTGTACAGGCTAGAGGTGTAATACTCGCCAAACTATTGAGTTGGGCACATATACGACACGGGAAATTTCTCGTGGGCTAATATCTAGACGATCGTCCACTCTTTGCAGAATGTTCTCTAGAACTTATAGCGTCCGCACACTCTTGTCGTGCCCTGTATGATGCATGCAGGTGACAAAGGATCCTGTTTCACACAGGCACCGATGCAAGCGTTCAAACACTTTCCGATGTGGCACGTGTCTTCTTGGGAAACGCTGGCGTGTACAGTCTTTCGGCTTCCAGAGCATTCCCATTCGCAAGACCGTACATATGCACCTCCGCTTTTTCTTGATTACTCTACGCCGACATGTCTTCTGAAATCCACGCTAGGAATAACGATGTGTAAGAAAACTGGCGCTTTACGCTTTTCATTACAGCGGCCTCAAGGGATTAACCGCTTGCTCTCCGCTCATGCATTGTGTGGTGAAAATTGCTTTTTTAGGTGTTTTCTATCATCCCTTAAGGTTTTGCCCATGAGTTTCGAAACACCCTGTATACAGGAAGTAATTTGTAGTGCAGGATTTATGCAACAAAAGATTTGTTTTGTCTAATTTCTCAAATCTTAATTGGTGCTATCTTCCTAAATATTTTCTCTAATATTAATACTATTTAAGCGAATGCACTATAGGACAAACGAGTACATTATATAAACAGAAGACGTAAAAAGGAAGAAAATATTCTTCTCAAAGTTAGATTTACACTCACAAATGTTAGAAATCATAGAAAAGATGTTTACATATTTTATTTAAATAGAACTTACTCATAATTCATAGCTGTTCAATAATAGCTTTACATTTAATAGGTATACCATGCTCGCACAAATGACGAAAGGTAAATATATTCATATAACTTTCACCAGGTATACCAATATTTTATTTGAACTAGAATACATCCAATTAAATTTCATATTCCTCATTCCAAGTTCGGCATTTTTTGCTTCGATTCATTGCTGTATTTGCTGGGCAGTTGAAATCTCTTGCAAACTGTGGTAGGTTGGACATAGCTCCTATGACTCTGAAACAGAGATATGATTAAATGCTTTTATACGAATCGTAATCTGTCTGTAATCAAATATTCTTATCTAGTTTTGAAAATAATCAATGAATGGATATCGTGCAATTGTAAAAATCATATCATTTCTAATAATCAGGCAAATTTTTAATGCGCCCATATTGTACACTCATTGTCATACAAATTCATCATCAAGAAAGTCTTGCCAAAATTGAAACAAATTTTATATATGTGGCTGCAATGTTGTTATATGTAAGTAATTATAAAATCAAAGCAAAAAGGATTATTTATTACAAGGAAAACTATAAATGAATGGAGGTTCTAGTGCTTTGTTGGACCACCTCTAAGTGAATACAGAATACGATATGGACGGGCATTGAGGCATGCAGGTGTCTTGTGTTATTTTGATACCGTATTTTCTGTTAAGTCCCCTTTTGTTTCGAGAAACTTTCAGGGCTGCCGAGATATGCTTGATTGATGGAAAACAATTGGTGTGTTTTTAAGAAAAGTTCAATTTTGAGTCAAAATATCTCTGTTAGAGCAGTGCTATATATAAATCTAATATATATCCGAAGTCGTGCTTTCGAGACATGAAAAACGCAAATTAAATTTCATCATTTGTCCCACTAAAACAAGAGATATAAAACTGTGTTTCTTGCTTTTGCAGCGGGAACATTATTGGTGATTCTTTTGCAGGGGAAACATTATTGGTGATTCTGCTGCGAAGCTGCTTTTAAAAGTGCCTATGTCCAACAGCGCAATTAGTCGGAGAATGCAACATATGGCAGAGGATATCAACGATCAATTAATTGAAAAAATTTGCAGCTAGATGAGGCTACGGATAATAATAAGGATGCTCATTTGATATGTTATGTACGATTTAAAGATGGTAGTAATATTAAAAAAGATTCTTTTATGTAAAAATATCACTGCATGAGGTAAGGCTCATTACCTGTTCGAGATTCTTAATACATTCATACTTGAAAATATTTTCAATTGGCTTAAATGCGTTGGTGTCTGTACTGATGAAACTCGCTTCATGTCTGGCTGCTATGGAGAATTACAGGCATATATTCGAAAGAAGGGACGATTGCATTTTTCACACAGATGCGATTGCATCAAAGCATCTGACTGCTGTACGCAATCAGATGTGAGAATGTATGGTGAATGTGGTAAATTTTGCAAAATCTTGTCCATTGAAAGCAAGGTTTTTAAAAAATATCTCTGAGGACATGGGAGCCAAGCACTCGTCTTTGCTGTAGAGCAGTGCACAAGTGCGCTCTCGTGATATTGTTTTATCACTACCTTTGAATAGCTGAAAAAAATCTTTTATTTAACTTTTAAAGGAGGATACAAAGATGCAGAAGATTTTGCTGACACCGAATTTAATAAACTGACGTATTAATGCGACATTTTTTAAAAGCATTAACCTTTTGAAGTCAAAAGTAAAAATATCAGCTTTTATATAAAAAAAACTCAAATTGGGAAGAAAAAAATTGAATGAAGATGTAGGAAAATTTTGCTTTTCAACATTGCAGCAGTTTTTAACGTCAAATGCTTCCTCAGGATATAAAAACCATGTTTCAAGGGCACTTATCGACGTTAATAATCGCGTTTCAGAAATACTTTAAAAAGGAAAACTTCGTTAGGTTTGCAATGGACTTGAGATTCATTTAACACTAGTGATTCGTCTGAATTTACTTCTGCGGAAGATTATCTTATCGAGTTATCTTGCGGCAATAGTTTGAAAGCAAAATTTGATAGCATGGAATTGACAGAATTTTGGATTTCAATTAAAGATGAATATCCTCTTTTCGCTGTACCATGTACGGTTCAGCGAACTTTAATTAAAATCTCTCTGTCGTATTTGTAAAAAGCTGGGTTTTCGTCGGTTGCTGTGATGAAAAGCAAGTATAGAGCGAAAATCTGGGTGGAAAGGGAAATGAGGTGGCCATGTCTAGTTTAATTCCACGATTTCGAGAAAATATGCAGTGATTGGTAGGGTCATCATCAAATTAATTACTAATTTAATATTAATAAAATATAAAAGTTAAATAATGAACATAAAGGGGTTTTGTTTATTTTTACCATTTTCTTCTTACGTTTAATCATACTTTTACTTTAGTTAGGGCGCCATGGAAAAATTTTAATTGAGAACAGGCGCCGTGTGTCGCAAAAGTTTGGGAACCACTGTCTTAACCCTTTGCGGCACAGTGTGTCCGCTCTGGACACACCTAAAAATTTCCTTCTCTACGCACAGAAAAATTGAATGAAAAAGGATTTATAGGTTACTATAGGTTACTCTGAACCTTCTTTATTTATAGTAGATGGCAGCTGAACACAAATCAGTCCATATATTTTAGCCATGTTTAATATTTTTAAGACCCTCATTTTTCAAAGAAATCTTCCAGATTGTTTTTTAGGGTATAAAATGAATTGTTCGAAAAGAAATTTTTATATGATATTTTTTGGCTGTGTGCTAATCTCCTTATTCTATATTAGTTTTAAATTTTTACCTTGAAATCTTGCCTAGAATTAAACGACGAACCCTACGTGCACGCAGACCGGGCTCACCGATAATCTAGGACAACTGAGAGTCTGCATTCTTTGTTTCTCCGCATCTCATCGGTCAGATTATTGACAACAATGCTCGTTTCAGCACTCTTTTGGAAGCTCTATTCAATTAGTGTGCCACTTTGGGCACATCCACAGAATTAAAACGATAAGTGCTATCTTCACCAAATTTTACTTGTGTACTCCTATAGGCCTAATTAAATTGCCTACTTTCTTTTTTTTTTTTAAATAAAAACTCTGACTTTAAAAGGTAGCGTGCCGGAAAGGATTAAGGAAATGATTACATGTGCAATATTTTCTCATAAATAACACAATGCATGCACGTTTTTCAGGTAGGAAATGATTTACATGTACAATATTTTCTCATAAATAACACAATGCATGCACGTTTTTTGAGGTAAACTCCCGTAACTTAAATAAAATGATACATAATTCACTTACCGAAACATTGGTGGAATGCGGGACCCACCGAGATCGCTATTTTGTAGATTCATCTTTCTTTGCTTTTCACAAAGTACCTGAAATGGTTTTTAATATTGTGTATCTATAAGAATATATATGTCGTATAAATAGACATACTAAGAAAAAATTAACTTTTAATGGCGCCATCCTCAAATGATTAAACATGCTATTTAATACTTCTACGAAAATTGAAGTTATTTTAAGTACTGTCTGATTTATATTACTAATTATGAGAATATTTCCTTGTGTAAGGTTTCCTATAAGGTTGCTTTTCTTTATTTCTAAATGCTTTAAAGTAATATTTTAAGTGCGCATTCTTTTTACGTTCCTTGACAGTACTCCGCTTTATAAATAATTCTTTAATCCAGCCTTATACCTTTTAAAAAGCTCCAACTCAAATTTCAATGCATAATAGTTTTTTTTCATAACCATTTTTCTTTCAGATTAAGCTGAAGTTGGTTGCTTAAAACTTTAATTAAAGTAGTAATAAACATTGCATCTTACAAATAAAAGATGTCTAAGACGTTCCCATGCACACAAATTATAAAAAGAAATATGTTTTTGTTTATGTATGTTTGTTTAAGTTTGTTTGTTATGTGTAGTGTTTCAAGAAGTTTGTTTTGATTTCTCGTAGAGCTCATTATTCTTCCGTGGTTGTCATCCCTCATATCCTAGGTTAATGCCTTGAGTCTTCTTATTCCTTGCTGATACTTACCGTTTAAAAGCAAAAAATAGTACCATTTCCCACGTACTGGAGTATCTAGATTCTTTCTCCTAGTGTACTGCTAGCTTTTAATGTATCCGATTGCAGTTGGATGTATATTGGAAGAAAAGGAATCACGCCACAATTTGAGAGGGTTGTTTTTTAATTATAACAAAGAAAATACAATTTTGAGAAACGTTAAAATTTCAGGGCTAAACTCGAAACGCTAGGAGTATTAAATAAAAGTTTTTTTCAGTAACAGATTCCCATATATAAACGGTTTACTTACTTAAAGCAGCGCCCGAGTTCATTTATTTCTCTGAGACTAAAGGTCCGGATTGAATTGGCAAAGAAGGAGAAAACAGATCTCCTTTTATAAGATGCTCTAATTTTCAATTTGAATTCAGATAGAGAAAATATTAAGGTTATAAGATCCGCCTTCCTAGCGTGCTTTCGTGGTGTAGTGGTCTGAACGCTGGACGCGTATTCCAGAGGTCCGTGGTTCGATTCCCGGAGAAGGCGTTGCTAGTTTTTCATCTTCCCTGCTTCCAAAAAACACCTAATGTCTCTACTCTGGCGCCCGAACTAAAAGGGTGTTGGATGATTATTCGCGCCCAGGATTTGGCGAGAGGGTCCCCTAAAATCCCCAGTCGCCCTTTAAAAGGGGGAGTTATAAGGTATTTCTCCCGCCTGCCTAGCTTGCCTTCATGATGTAGTGGTCTGCACGCTGGGCGCGTATTCCAAAGGTCAGTGGTTCGATTCCCGGCGAAGGCGTTGCTAATTTTTCATCTTGTCTGCTTCCAAAAATACCAAATGTCTCTACATGGTTCTAGGATTCAAATATGTCAGGATTGTGGAATAAACGAAAGGAGAAAAAAATAATAGCTTCAGTCTCAGCTCCGCGAACACGTAGATTTGATTAAAAAATTTAGGAAATTCTGTAACTCTAGGCTATAATTCAATAGATATTGATGTAACATGTCATCTACCGCTTTTGCGATCGCATCCTACGATGGTCAGCTAAAATCCGCCAAAAGAACTTCGTCAATCCTGCAAACAAATTCTAATACTCTAACAACTGAAACGTGCTGGAGGCTGGAGCTTAAGATTCTACACAAAATACGGTACTTCGCAGAAGCATGGTGAAGAACCGTTAGCAAAAGTGACAGTTGTTATCTGACCCTGCTACATGACTTTCGGAGAGTTATACTGCGGAATGACTCATAACAGAAGGCGTTGTTGAGAGCATTTTGCTTTTGTTTTGCAAAATTGAAAGCAGTTTCAAGTTATTGAATTAAAAATTGAATAGAGTGAGTGAGCGTCACCAAGGAAGACCACTGACCTGGCCTCATCCTCACAGTGTGTTATCCCTTACTGGCAGAAACCACCTACTCTCTGCTCCACCCTGCTCCGAGAACGCAGCCGAATAGACGGCTAAGAGCCTCATAAAATCTACATGTAAGCTTGGATATTGTTGTTCAGGGAAAGAGTATCCTGTTAGGAACTACTTAAAATTAAGCAAAGAAGCAATCAAAAGACTGTTAAGAATCGGTGTTACAATAGACAGAAACTTGTGTTAGATAAAGTAAAGGAAGAAGGACTCTGCCTTAAAAAATAACTGTCGTGGATTTTCTGGACTTGCTAAATATTTGCATGCGGATGCTAATCCTGAGACAACTGTCATATATTTATGGGGCTTTTGTAAAGTCGTTGGTCCTGCATGGAGGAAAGATGTAACCTATTAAATTATTGCACATAGGAAACTTAAAAAAAAAAAAAAAAAAAGAGAGAGAAAAATTATTAAAAAAATCCCATCACCCAAACGTAATTTAACGCAGATTACTTTCCATGTGCCTGACTCTTATGTAAAAACATTTAAAAGATTGTGTACCTGTTATCACTAAAATAACAAATTCCTGCATAATTTAGTTCTTTGCGTAAATATAAACTGGAGTTGTTTTACAAATTGAACCATGCATCTACATTTTCTTTCGTAGTACTTGCAGACAGGATAATACATACATAAGTACAAAACTGAATATTAAAGTGAAAAACTAACATGATGCTGAGTACAGAAATACAGAAAGCTGATCCCTAATACCTGCATACATAACTTAAAAATGCATACGTAATACATGAAAACTAAAGCTAAAACTGATGAACATAATACATAAAACTGATCAGTAAGTAATGCTATGTAGTCTAAATCCTAGCTAAGAACGAAGTGACTTTCATGGTACATGCAGAGAAGTAAGAAATACAGACTTGAATACGTTAAAGTGAACATAAACAGAAAAGTACAGCACCATACTCAGTAAAACTGATATCTGATTCCAAACACTTGAATACATAATGCTGATACATAATTACAAAGAAAACCTTACCTACATTAATTCCATAGTTACTTTTATCACCTTAGAATATGCACATAATTTATAAAAAACATAAGTAAGCACTTAATGCTGATCGCTAGGGAGAGATTCAAATATACAGTTGATCACATAAATACAGATACCATATGTTTATGAGATAAATATATGATTAATTTCCTAAAATTTACATAAAACGTTGAATATTTATTAAAATTAAGAAGGCAAAGATGCCATACCATTCATTCACAAATTTAAGTTGAGGTGATAATATAAGTTGACCTTGCCCTTCTTGAACCTGCTTATCACAAACTTGTAATTTAAATACGCGATTAGTAAGTGTAGGAAAAACTCATTGCTGTTGAAGATTTTACTGGCTCAAACTGGTCTTGCGAGTCCTAGACCTGTATATTAATTGCAAAAGTAAAATTTTTAAGGAATATAGGCAGGTTGTTGCCATAGTCCTAATTATCTAAATTAGGCTTGGGCTGAGAGGTCCGAGGTTGCCCCACATACTTAACAGATTGATTTAGTGTCACTTTTACATTTTATTATTCAGAGCGCTAAGCACTTGATTATTTCTGTTTGGGAACACTTATTATCGTATTAGAGAATACTTTCTCTGACAATGGCTGATTACCGCTTTTAGCTTTTTATTTTCTGTTTTGTTTGTTCTCATATTTGCCGCCCATTGTGGCCAGTAAGCGTGACTTGGCTTTCTTATATGGTACTGTGCCGTGTTTGTGCAGTGGAAGACGTAGTGGTCTGGATCCCCCACCTCTCCACGTTGACATCTTTCCATGTCACTCAGGCTGAATCTATGCAGATAGGTCAAGAATGGGCCATGACCTGTATAAAACTGTGTCTGACTACCACTATTGCAATTTAACTCTAGCTTTGTTTTTGGGAAGAACATATATGTTCTCCTTCCTGTATACGCTATCCGCTGTGTGTCTGCAGAATTTCCGCAGAATTTAATAGAGTATTAAATTAATTAATTGATTGGGAATCATTTTCTTTATGTATTTTAATCATTTATATTTATTTTCGCCCTTAGACATAGCGCCTTAGTAGCGTCCTAAGCGGTAGATCGCACACTACATCAATATCTTGCAATGTGTATTTGTTGGCTCTTTGAATTAAGCCACATGCCACATTTTATTTCAGAAGAAAATTATCGTTTTTCGACTATTTTCCGCCAACTTTTCACACGAAAGACATGCCTCTCTAGCTTCCAAATAAATTTTATCTTCTGCAACAAAACAAACAGGACCTACGTTTGCTGCACTTATCCAAAATAACTGGTTCTGTGTGTACTTCACTCCTGGCAGCTTTTTCTCTTTTTCATTACCATTTACCCAGGATTGGTAAGCCTGAAAAGTGGAAGAATAGTATTTTTAAATAATACATATATTAAAAAATAAAAATAAAATAAAGAAATTTTTTTAAAAATACAAAATTTCACACAGGAAACCTAAAAAGAAAAATCAAATGTGTTCTGGGCTGACGACCATCTCAATATTACATAATTCAAAATCATAGGGTAATCTTTTATAATGTACACTAGTTTAAAGTTAAATTTAATGTACACTTATGGAAAAGTGCCCGCCCCCAACAGCACGTGTAATACTTCCAGAGTATATTGTTGCAGCACCAAACCATTTTATTTATTTTGATATTTTTCTTTTATAATTCAAGTAACTGCATTCAAATAAGTTTCTTATGAAATGTTTGAATTCTTTCCTTCGTTTCAGTAAAAGGCAAATTTAACTTTAAATTTACATTTTTAAGTTATATAAGTATACGATATAAGTTTCAATTATTAATCAATTATTTTTTTTAATAATTTTGTCTGTATTATTTATATTAATTTCACATTTTAAATCAGTTTTTTTTTACATTTTTTTAAGGATACCGTAATCTTAATAACAATATGTTTCGTTTTCACCCACGACAGCTTACTAGTATTAATATACATATATTTCCTTTTAACAACTGGCCAACCAGCTGCCGAGCGGTAAAGTGGCTGAGCGCTGGTAGTGCGGTTCGATGTTCGAATCCCGCTAACGGGCTGGCTGCATGGGCGTTTTCGTGGTATTCGCCATATGTAACGTGTATACTACCCAGTTTCCCTTAGAAAGTCCTCTATGAGGGCATTCATTCCTTTAGGCAGATAGCCCTCAAGACTTTGCTGTAATCGCATAAACCGAAACCTTTTAACAACTCGTACTAATTGCGTTATTAGAATCATAATTTTCTTCATTTCATTTATACGAATATTGAAGCACTTTAGCACTTCCTAAACAATATGTTGCAGATAAACTAGTATTTCAAATTATCAAATTTCGCAATAGTCAGTTTGTTAACAAATATATATTTAAAAAACACGGATTTTTATCTTGTAGATTATGTACATTTTGTATTAGATATATATATATTTATGTTGTAGTATATATATATGTGTGTGTGTGTATATATTTGCAGAACACAAATATATATACAGTATAATATAAAAATCAAAGCACTAAAAAAGAGTTACCCGAAAGGGACCATATATCGTATGCCCATATCTTACGATAAAACATGCAAATGACAGCTTTTGGAGGACAGTTCGCTTTAGCTGAAGCTAAAGCACATTGCAACGGAGCAATCGGATGGTGAATAAAATAAATGACCAATACTAAGGCGTAACTTCTATGCGAATCTGATTTCGTCAACCCATTTGGGCTTTACTTTCTTTTCTTTGCACCGGATGCAGGGCAGCCGATGCACTGGGGCAGATGGCATATCGTCCAAGTAGCTCTGCAAGCGGAATTAGCTTTGTTACAAAAGTTCTTCGATTATAGGCTTCCTCGACCTATGTTTCGCGAAGGAGGAAGTAAACTGATGTATTTTAGTTCTTTCCAGAAGTCCATATAATACACTTTGGTACGTTTTGTGCTCAAACCGAGTGTGCTGGGGGTGTAAAACAAATTCTGGGCGAGTTAATGATGCAGGGATGCAATACGAGTCATGAGTATACTTTCACTTTCACATGTAAATTAAAAAAAAAAAAACAGATTTCTAGATAGTTACAACTTAAGTACTGTTAATAGACTTAAACGTGAACAATAAATGGATTCTGTAGATTTTTAAATCACAGGTAAAGATATAACTGAGTCACAATCAGCTACTAAATTGTACATCAAGTATGACTATGAACAGTTAACAAATTTATACATATACAAAGTTAAAGTAATGGGTTAAATAAGATTGTAGGGATTTATATTTATTTTAACTAGCAATTTAAAGTTTTAGTTTAGACCTTTCCTGTAAGCTTTCATTCCCCTCAGTGCCAGAATAGTTAAGTGTTGTAGCGCGTGGAAGGAAATGCAAATTTTCTACTTTGGAGGAAGTAGTTAAAAGCCGAGTTTCGGTAGGAGGAAAAGGGAGAGTTAGGTTTTAATTGCCATCGCTGTCGTAGGTACGTTTACTTATTGCTAGTTCAAATGGCTTAATAGCATTGCTTTGCTGCCACTAGCGTAAAAGAGGGTTTAAGTTACAGGATCTCGCTGAGCCATGTAGGCTAGTTTTATCACTTGTTAATATTTCAACTTTTAGTTTCAATTATCTGACTTTCAGTTACTGCCCAAGCAGAGGCGAAGTTTGTTAGCGTCGAGTTGACGCATTGTAAATCTTAAAGAGTTAATAAAGGGTATTTTAAGTCTTCTTCTGTGTAGTTTCCTGCATCTCCAGTATACCGACTGAAGTTCATTCACTGGACTCTACAAGGTAATACACAGAATTCAAATTTAGTCAACAGGAAGAAAGAAAAAACAGAAAAGAACAGAAAAAGCTAACTTAAAATAAAAATAATTAATTGCAAGTACAGAATATACAGGGGTTATGCTGGCGAAGAGGATGGCAGCTGAATATTACTCCAGCCTGTCTGAGGTATTACCTGCGATATTAAAGCAATCGACGATGCGTTTCGAAGCATAGCGAATTGTTGAAGTAACTTCAGCCCGTGCATGGGTATGGTCCGCTGCTGACTGTCTAAGGTAATTTTCTGCAGTCTCTCTGCAAACGAACACATCGAGATAAGGATCTCCTGCCATCCCGCATGAGCACTGGCCTTTTGCATGTCGTCTAAAGCGATGCAGGTAAGTCATAAAGGACCCATGCTCTGTTAGGAATTGCGTAAAAGTGAGGCGAGCCACTTCTGATAAACTGACCGACTTTGGAGAAAATTCTGTAAACTTTTCTGCCAGTATTGTCCGTCTCTCACAGATGTTGCCAAAACATGATTAACTCTCTTTCGAGTTCGACTTTTAAGAACGAGCCCAAGAAAGACATATTAAGTGTGCGAACGTGGAGGAGCAGTCGCTGCTGTTTTGACTGTTGCTTCTTCAATTTTATTACCCATTATTCTGGTGTGGGCAGATACCCAGTGGAGTCTGGCGCTTACTGTAGATTGGTGTATTTATTAGGGGTTTTTATGGCCCTGACGAATGGATTATTTACAGCATGTGCCTTGAATTGCCTGAAGGCTAAAGGCCGAGTCTATATGAATATTGGAATAATTATTTTCCATTGCATAGAAAATGTATATTTTAATACAATGAATTCAGCTTGAAAAACTGTGTTTTGCAGCCTGAGCTTCCTTTCCCAGGTCTTTAAGATCTGGTTTCCATGTACAATAGACTATCTGCTACCGGTGCCACAGTCTCCTTTGGGTCCACAGATGTGATCGCAATGGCTTTGGAACACACCAGCGACTTACAGTTAATCGAAATATTGAATTCTGCCGGGTGACAAAGTGGCTCAGAAATGCTTTGCTCATGGTCAGTATTAAGATAAGTCACATCCCACAAACTTGTTGTCTCTGAGGCACATTCACTATTGAACTCTCACGATGACTAAGGGCTGCAGAGGCGGAAATCTTGAAATCACGTTTAATGCATTAGTAGGTGAGATTTTGTACCCTAAGGAAATACTTAGGAAGAATGATCTTTATGTTGAGTGTAGCAGATTCTCCATTTTAGTAGTTATAGTTAAAACGGAGACCGAATACCTCAGAGAAGTTCTCGAACAGTATGAGCACGAGTCACCATTTGAGAGAGGTCAGGCAATTGATCTAAAGGAAGCAGAGTGGTCAAATCGCAAGATCGCTATCGATTTGGATTCTGAGCGATGATACCTTTGGACGATGTTTGCGGGAATGTGGGGACCATGGTCGTACAGCGCATCGAGAAGGTAGAGGTCGACAGAAGAATGAACGTCCTGTCGGTGCTCACAGCCTCCAACGATCTGACGTGTAAGCTGGACACCAATAACTGCAGTAAATGTCAGCGAACAAGGTTTGAGATTATGGAAGTTATTCCGCCGACTGATCTTCACCATTGTTCATCGCCAGACACATTTCCAGAGATACTGAGCTCATTCGATCTGGGATCTTACAGACTGAGTCGAATTGTTTTCAGAGATGAATCATGCAGCGAATAGAGCCCCGATGCCCAGCGAAGACGTATCTGTAGGTTTCTAGGATAGCCGTATGATTCTCACTTGACTGTCGTCCGCAAACAGCCTGAAAAACCAGGAGTTTTGGAAATGTAAATGAAAAGGAACTATGGGGTTCCATTTCATTCTATAGCCGAACCCCTTTGGTTTTCATCTCTGACATCTTACAGTATGGGGGCACGTCGAAAATAGCACAGCGGCATGCCTCATCGTGTATTCCTTCCTTTCACGGACCCCTAGGATTATATTCAACAGAATAATGCTCGGCAGCCACGGCCCAACTTCCTAGTGCTTGTTTCTAGGTAATGTTTCCACTTCTTGTTCCTGAGTGTCTGTGGATCACGCCGATAGTATTCGTCAAATAGAACGTGTTTGGCAAGCAGACTAGCCGGAACATATCCGTTAACTCTACGATTCAATTCCCAGCTGGAGTTTTTCAAATTAAAGTTAAAACTCACTTCTTTTGAGAGATGTGACAATGGTAGTCATTTTTTTTTAATTTTTTCTAACACGTTAATCAATTTTTTATAATATTTGAGATAATCCATTTCTTTCTTAGCACATTGCACGTAGTAAATCACTGGATATACCCAACCGTACTTTCTTAAAGTTCTTTATCGCAGGTTCAGTTGTAACATTATTATTTAATAGTCTAAACTGATATTTTAGTAATAGTATCTGTATTAGTCGAAAACGGCATTAGCCCGAATGGATTATTAGCTATAGTCTTGAAACGGGATTTTGCGTCGTCAATATAAATGACGAATCAGTTTTCAAAGTGTTGCCACCAAATATTATCGCTTTGTATTATTTTTAAATAAATTAAATAATGAATTATGCCTGTAGGTACGTATGTTCCTCGCACTGTGAAAAA